AAACTTAAAAATATATATATTGGAATTTTTGATTGGCAGTTCTTTGTATTCTTCGTTTTTACGTTTTTTTTTTTTTTTTTTTTCAAATCGGACACTGGGCCCGATTTCCAGCACATGCGGGTCCCCGCGAATAGAATGGAGCACTGTCCCCCCCCAACCCCCCCCCCCAAAAAAAAAAGCGAGTGCTTCAGCTGTGGACGATCCGGTGCCCCCTCAGGCTTTTCTGGACTAGCAGACACCGACCTTATTCCCCAACCCGTGACCTACCAGAGACCGACAATTTGTAAAGGCATACAGCGACGCAGAGTGGCAGGGTGCGAGGCCAAGACGTGATCGCTTGCCCTATCCAGGCGGGGTGAGTTGCACAGTCAGTGACGGTCGAGTCAAGACAATTAAACATGTTTTTCTTCTGTCTTGTTTTCCCCTAAATCCGCGAGCAGTGTGCGAGAAAGCACCACTGCCGACAGAAGAGGAGGATATATATATATATATATATATATATATATATATATATATATATATATATATATATAAACATAGAATTCGTGAAAACCTAACAAAACAAATTGTTAGGTTTGCACAAAATTTTTCAAAGATTCTCATAGTACGTTTTTCAGGCCTCCTAAATCAACAAAATTTTAGGTGAAGTTAAAGATCCGCAAAAAATGGAATAAAAAACTACTTTTTCAAAACCACTCGCAGTGGTGAGAAGAAAAGCAGTTTTTTTTACAGAAAATCACTACCTTCCAAAACACTGTTTCTTCATGAACCAAAATATTCCATTTTTTTCTTTATCTAAAGAAATCATATTTATAGTTTTATAAGGTATGCAACACGATGAACGTATTGGAGGGTCTCCCAAACACGCCATATGTTGTCCTTGTCACGAATACGTTCGCTTGAATATGTTCTCTCATACATGGACGAATATATTATTTTTTATCAAAATATTTTATCATTTTTTAATTTTAGATCGTGGTTGGTTAAGAATTTGAAGATGTTTCCGAGGCAAAAGTTGTTTGAATCCGTCTTTTACATAACATATATTTTTGAACAAGGGTTTTACAGTAGGCTCAAAAAATGACTTATATGATTTATAGATCTATAAATTAGTTTTCACAGATTTCGGTTCTTAACAAGTAATGAAAATGACTTATAGTTCTATAAATGAGTATTCACTAGAACTGGTTTTTTTTGTACATATTTCGAGTTTTTAAAGATTGCCTTGTTTACGCTCTTTTTTTTGTCAATCTAGTAAGAACAATTTATAGTCCTATAACACGCTCTTTGCTAAAAATGATTTTGTTGCATATTTTAAGAATTGCTAGACTTTTTGCCCATTTTTTTGCATCCTTTTTCGAGACACAGTTAAAAATATTATTTTTTATGTGTTAAAACCTGCGTTGCATGGCGAACGTGTTCGCACCCCTTCATGTTTGCGCGAACGTGTTCGCGCGAACAGCTCGTGAACATGTTCTGGCGAACATAATTTTTTTTCATAAAAAAAATAAATAAATAAATAGAAATTTCGGTTTTCGATTTTTAGCTCACGATTGGCTACAAATTTGAACATGACTCCAAGGCAAAAGTTGCTTGTTTTGTTATTTTACATAAAATATTTTTTTTTTCAGATTTTTCTGAGAACCTTCTTTTTTTTTTTTTTTTTATGTTCGCGTTCGGAGGGTTTTGGGCGCTTGTTCGCGTTCGGGCGAACATGTTCGCGTTCGCCTCCGAACGCGAACACGGTGCTACGTAGGTTAAGACTAACAGTTTGATGTTGTACTTTTTCATTCTGTAAAAAATGTTAGGTTTTGTCGTTTTGTTAGGTTTTCATGAATTCGGTGTCGGAAGAGAGAAAGAGAGAGAGAGAGAGAGAGAGAGAGAGAGAGAGAGAGAGAGAGAGAGAGAGAGCTGAGCGGAGATTTGGCAGCCATACTCAACCTCATTTCCGTACTCCTCCTCAACCCACTCCCTTCCTCATTGTCCTCCTCCTCAATCCTTTGCCCTGCTTGTAGTCGTCCTCCTCCTCCTGCTGTCTCCCGTGTCAACCCTTCGCCATCATCATCCTGCCTCCTCCTGGATCTTCTACTCCTCATTCGTGCGGGCCACATGGCGCACCCTTTTCTTTCTCGAAAATTCGAGTGTAAGAGAGAGAGAGAGAGGGAGAGAGGGAGAGAGGGAGAGAGAGAGAGAGAGACATAGAGAGAGAAAGAGAGAGAGAGAGAGAGAGAGAGAGAGAGAGGAGAGAGAGAGAGAGAGAGAGACTCGAGGAGACCGGCACAGCCGAATACACAGACGACAGACTACAGCAGGGGAAAGGGAGGGTGGGGTGGGTGCAGCTAAAATGGATGACGTGAGCGAGACAGTTGCTTCCTGCTCCCGCCAATCTTCTGCCCACTTACGTCCGCACACCAGAACTGCTCCTTTCTTCTTCCCGCTTCCGCCATTTTGCTGCCCAATGCCCATTCTCTTCATGCCGGCTCCCGCCAATTTTTTGCCGACTGACTACTTTCCTCTGTGCTCCGTCCCACCAATTTTCAACCCCCACCATAAATATCCCTTCCTTTGGTGCTCGGCTACTGCCATTTTGCTTTGTTCCTCCTCTCGCTAATTTGGTGCTCGCCTACTGCCATTTTGCTTCACCTACGAAAAATTAAATTTCTCTGTCTCCCTCTCCCCCATTCTCTCTCTCTCTCTCTCTCTCTCTCTCTCTCTCTCTCTCTCTCTCTCTCTCTCTCTCTCTCTCTCTCTCTCTCTCCTGTTAGG